GCGCCTGGGGGTTCTGGCATGGAGACCTTCATTACGCAGTGTGCGCCTTATTGTCTGAGCTGAAACTTCTATACCCACATCTGACAAATCTTTTTTCAGTTCCTCAGCAGTCACACGGGGACTTTTCACCACTCTATGCTTTAGGTAGCGCACAGCAGTCGAAGTCAGCATCTTCTTTCTTCCATGACCAGGTAGCATTTCAACAGTGCCCTTTGCCTTGAATTTGCGAATGATGCTTCCTATGGTGTCTCTTGGTATGTTTAACTTCTTTGCAATCTTCTTATAGCCATTGCCCTTCCTGTGAAGACAAATCACCTCTTCTCTTGTCTTCCTGGACCATTCTCTTGACTTCACCATGTTTGTAACCACACCAGTAAATGTCTAGAAGGAGCTGAGTATCACAGTCATTTTAAAGCTGCCTAATTGGTGCTTATTATGCTTGATTGGTGCTCGGTGACATCCACAGGTGTTTTCAATACCTGAATGAACCTCTCTTCTTCAGAGTGGTAGTCTTTAAGGGGTTGAATAATTGTGGCAATGAAGAAACCACAAAAGAAACATTTACTACTGTATTACATAAACAATTGATGTTATTTTAGTTGCATTTGGTTCTTTAAAACGTCCTTGTAGGATTTCATTCTGAATACAATTCCAAATGTACACTATAGTCCCTAAACCCCTTTACAGCATTGGGGGTTGAATAATTTTGAACACAACTGGATATTGGCAAGTCTTCCGGTCTGAGTCGCAGCTCTAGTCCAAGTCTTGTGGTCTGAGGTCCAAGTCTGAGTCTGCGTCTTCAGGTCCGAGTCCCATGCCTTGAATCTGAGTCTTGAGTTGGGGTGCATACGCAGTCACCGGGCCTGGGAAAGTGAAGCTGGGCCGGCACATGCAAAGAGACAGAGCGCCTACTTTTCTCCCTGGAGTTGGCCTCTGCCTCTGCCCATGCACTGGTCTATCAACTGGGTGGCAGGTGGAAGAAGCAGCCATCTCCTGGAAGGAAAGCCGGGGCTGCTTCCTCTGAGAATGGTGGCGGTGGGAGGCCCATTCCTACCTTGACAACGCAACTCAAAAAAAATGGGTCTGAGTCATGAGTTGAGTCTGAGTTTAAAACAAACAAACAAAAAACCTGAGTTGAGCCTGGGGGTTCTGGCATGGAGACCTTCATTACGCAGTGTGCGCCTTATTGTCTGAGCTGAAACTTCTATACCCACATCTGACAAATCTTTTTTCAGTTCCTCAGCAGTCACACGGGGACTTTTCACCACTCTACGCTTTAGGTAGCGCACAGCAGTCGAAGTCAGCATCTTCTTTCTTCCATGACCAGGTAGCATTTCAACAGTGCCCTTTGCCTTGAATTTGTGAATGATGCTTCCTGTGGTGTCTCTTGGTATGTTTAACTTCTTTGCAATCTTCTTATAGCCATTGCCCTTCCTGTGAAGACAAATCACCTCTTCTCTTGTCTTCCTGGACCATTCTCTTGACTTCACCATGTTTGTAACCACACCAGTAAATGTCTAGAAGGAGCTGAGTATCACAGTCATTTTAAAGCTGCCTAATTGGTGCTTATTATGCTTGATTGGTGCTCGGTGACATCCACAGGTGTTTTCAATACCTGAATGAACCTCTCTTCTTCAGAGTGGTAGTCTTTAAGGGGTTGAATAATTGTGGCAATGAAGAAACCACAAAAGAAACATTTACTACTGTATTACATAAACAATTGATGTTATTTTAGTTGCATTTGGTTCTTTAAAATGTCCTTGTAGGATTTCATTCTGAATACAATTCCAAATGTACACTATAGTCCCTAAACCCCTTTACAGCATTGGGGGTTGAATAATTTTGAACACAACTGGATATTGGCAAGTCTTCCGGTCTGAGTCGCAGCTCTAGTCCAAGTCTTGTGGTCTGAGGTCCAAGTCTGAGTCTGCGTCTTCAGGTCCGAGTCCCATGCCTTGAATCTGAGTCTTGAGTTGGGGTGCATACGCAGTCACCGGGCCTGGGAAAGTGAAGCTGGGCCGACACATGCAAAGAGACAGAGCGCCTACTTTTCTCCCTGGAGTTGGCCTCTGCCTCTGCCCATGCACTGGTCTATCAACTGGGTGGCAGGTGGAAGAAGCAGCCATCTCCTGGAAGGAAAGCCGGGGCTGCTTCCTCTGAGAATGGTGGCGGTGGGAGGCCCATTCCTACCTTGACAACGCAACTCAAAAAAAATGGGTCTGAGTCATGAGTTGAGTCTGAGTTTAAAACAAACAAACAAAAAACCTGAGTTGAGTTCAAGTCAAGTTACCAGCGTGACTTAAGTTGGACTCAACAGCAACTTGCAAGTCTCCATCTCTGCTCTATAGCCAGGTAGATTAAGTTCCACATGCCAATCCTTACTATTGGTGACATGAACACCCCTAGTCCTGCTTCGTCACCATCACACAGGCTACCTATGGTGTAGGATGTACGCAAGGCTAGGACAAGGATGTTGTAGTTGCAATGATTCTGTGGCCACTGGATGCCCTTCCCCACATTCTCATGTGTCAAACTCAAGGAGGGAAGGAGAGGTGGAAAAGGCATCCATTCTACACCAAAGACTTCATGGGTTTGCTCTGGTTGCTCAGTCCTCCTCCTGCAGCAACATGGCTAGATCCTCCTGGATCAATGTCCAAAGGTGAAAGATTTATACAATCTGAAGAGACATCAGAGTACGAGTTGCTGATGCAATGTCTATGTCAACACCAGCTGCCTGTATGTCACAGACACTATTTTAGCCTATCCGCACTGGCATATAGTTATGGTATATGGTTCCAATAGCACTGTTTGGCAAAATAAAAAAGATCCCATCTGATTGTGTTTCCCCTTTGAAGGTTGGCCTGTATCTTTCTGTATCTGCCAGGACCTGCAATCTTTTGGGGACAATTCAGAGATGCAAAATAGCTCTTTGTTCTGCCTTCCAAGACTGGTACCAAGAGTTAAAATAGATTGCACTGAAGATAATGACCTTTTAACCATGGGCCAGATTACACCAAATTACACAGCGTGGACAGCCTCATGCTGTCTGAATCCTTTATTTCCTCAACCCACATGCTTCAATTTTATTACCTCTCCATATTTTGCTGTTGCATAAGTTAGAGTGTTCACCTACATCTGTGTTGTGAGATGCTATATATGCCAGCTTTCCTTCCTTCCAAATCACATGGTAAGGGAAATGAATACATCCTCTTATTAACATTATTTCCCTCCAGGCATGCAATTTCTTCAAAGTTTTGTGTCTGACTAATTCATCTCTAAATAAAGCCCATGTTTACCTCTTAACCGATTAACCACAAAACAAAAGCAAGCTAATTTGAAACATGAAGGTTGAGGCAACCTCATGATAAGGTAAATAGACTTCTTTCCCATCCTGAGACCATTGTGCGTCTAAAATCATGCTACCTGCATTGTGCTCCTCCTTCCCCTAGTGGCTGAGCCATCCTTGACTATGCTGGAATATAGAGATTTACTGTTCTCTTCTACTCCCTTAAAAAGGTGACCAGGAATTCTATAGCTCTTCGTTCATGGCAAGACAGCGAGGTGGTCGCTCCTGCCAGAATATTTGGAACTGACTGTAAGCCTCAGAAAAATATGGTGCTATCAGGTATATCTTGGCCAGTAGTGCAGACACAAATCCAGAAGTGCAGGGTCCCTCCATGAGTCCAAGGATACGACTGGATGGCTGCAAAGGCATGCACCTGATCGTACTGGAAAGGGTTACTTTAACAGGAGGAGTCTCCCTTATAGCAACTCTTTCATCTGCTGAACAATGGCTTCAGCCCAGCCCCCCAAAGCAGAAGCCCCACAACTGGAACAAAAAGATCCTGCCTCAGCATGGATTAGGGTCAGGATGGATCACATTTCCTTGTGTGTGTGGATGTCAGGGAATAGATCACACCAGACTGCTCTGCACACACACACTTTTAAACTGTTAAAACTAAGCAGGTGTGAACTCAGCCAGTCAGTGCAGGGTAGAAGATTTCCTAGTAAGCAACTTCGAATGTCCCCAGTGAAGATGAGAACACAGTCGGAAGCAATAAACACATCTGAGTTGTTCCTAAGTCTACAGCCAAGATCCTATCCAATGTTTGTCTAATGTAAATATCCACATGCATACTTGTACTAGATTGTACTGTTGTACAAGCAGTTGTGCAACAAGAACAAGTTGGCTATCCCCATTGTGTAATCACTTAGGAATCCAGTAGGGGTCGGTTTACACTCCTGGTCAAAGAACGTGCAATCACTCGTGCATCCTACTGCAAGAAGGGAAGTTGCTTGTGGAAGCCAGAAAATGGCTACAGTCCAGTGAGGGCAAATTGACCCCATCAAGGGTAGAGGTAGATACAGTTGTTCCTGATCTCAGGTTCCAAATTATGCCCCAGGAGCAGCTCTGTGTTTTTTTGCCAGTACTTTGGCACTAGATTCTAGGTAAAGGTAAAGGTTAAGGTTCCCCCTGACAATTTGTCCAGTCGTGTCTGACTCTAGGGGGCGGTGCTCATCTCCATTTCCAACCCATAGAGATAGCGTTTGTCCATAGACAATCTTCCGTGGTCATGTGGCCAGCGGGACTAGACACGGAACGCCGTTACCTTCCCACTGTGGTGGTACCTATTTATCTACTCGCATTTTGCATGCTTTCGAACCGCTAGGTTGGCAGGAGCTGGGACAAGCGACGGGTGCTCACTCCAATGTGTGGATTCGATCTTACAACTGCAGGTCTTCTCATCTTGCAGCACAGAGGCTTCTGTGGTTTAATCCACAGCGCTACCACTTAGATTCTAACTGACTATTATTCTAAATACTGTACTCGAACAGGTTTTCTGGAGTGAACAAGAAAGCACAGTGGGAGATGCACAACTATAATGCCACAACAGGAACCTGGCTTTAAAAAAAATTTTAGGCAACTCTGAGCCAAAGATACACTATTTATCATCCTCTGAACACAAGGTTTACTTTGGGGTCTTGTAACGTCCACTTACCAAGGCCTTCGTCGGACATCATACAGGTCAATCTTATTGGGTGCCCTCCAAGGGCTGGCTGGAATAAGAAGGAATAAAGTGCATGACTTTTTGTGGAAGTACAGAAGATAACAACAACAACAACAACAATGTCAAGATCATGTGGGATTTCTGGATCCAAACTGATAGATACTTTGAACATAATGCACCAGACATAGTAGTAATAGAACATACAGAAATTGAACAGAGTCATATACAACAAGAGATATCCTCACATTTTATTTTCAGGTTTTTATTTTTAGATTTTTAAAAACAAAATGGCTGTCCTTTAATTCATTTACCTTTGTTTTTTATTTTCCCTAAATCATACCCATTCACCTTATGTTGCGAACAGTGCTTAATAGTTATAAGATAGTAATCAGAACAGATATCCAGTGTGGTGTAGTAGATAGAGTGATGGACGAGATCAGAGTGAATTCCTGCTCAGCCATGGAAACTCATTAGGGTTATGGAATTGGTAGAAACCACTTAAATATCTCACTTACCTTGAAAACCTTATTAGGATAGCTGTAAGTCGATTCTAGCTTGACAGCACATAACAACTACTATCAAAATGAATCCTTTTGAAAATGTACTCTGTGCCATATTTTTATGACTTGATTTCATGACTAAACCACAAATGCATGAAAAACTGGGCTTTGCTGAATTTTCCTTCTGTCCTCTAAAACAACCTCTCTCTCTCTTTCTCATCTATTTGTGTTTCATTCTCTGTCTTAGAATCTCAGAACAGTGTTATTAGATTAGGTGGAGAAAGAATTACTTATCCACTCTCAGTATGTATGATAAGGAGTAGCATTCTAGATGGGTTCAAGATCCCAACTTCTCACCAGACTGAATGCATACTAGGGGCATGGATGCTGTGCTAATGCAACATTATTCCCCACTGTCTTTTTAAAAAAATATTATTTTGGGGAAAGCTCTTCTGTAGGGGTCATCAGAATCAGAGAGTAGATGATCTGTAAAATGGGCCTCCTAGTGGCCTATTTTTCACAATTACTGTATAAAAGAATGAGATGAAGATGAATCGGATGTAGGCAGGTGAAAAGACAGAGGAAAGAAGACGAGAGTAAACAGCTGAGTGTAGAATGGAAAAGCACAGATGTTTCACAGTCCATTGCACTGCCATGAATCTGTAGTCTTACTGTGTTTTTCCACCAGTGACTCTGTCCTTTTTCTTAACCAGAAGTCTGTGAATGCAGCAGGGAGGCACCCCACCATTTGGGGGTGAAGGGTGCTCCCTACTTAGACCATCAACAGGGATAAAATAATCGGCTAAGGTGGAGAAGCTGAAATCAATGATTGATGCTTCTGGAAGTGGAGTGCGAGGAATCCTCTGTCCAAAAGCACCCTCCATTTCTAGGCTGGCATTGCATTTGAGGAAGCTCCGGACAAAGTCACATCAGATGGACATCCTCTGATCTTGGCATGGCCTCTCCATGGCAAGCTCACTAGACAATAACAACTGCAGCAGTAGTAGGAGATTTCAAATGTACTCGGCACCTGGACAAGGTTCAGGAAAGCCATCATTTTATTTCCCACAATGTCCCTGATAACAGTTTTCCTCCAGGACATTGTGGGGATTTAATTGACCGTTTTCACAAACCCAGCCAGCTGGTGCATCAGAAGCCTGAAACTTTGATTTAAAAGAGGGAGGGAGTGTGAAAGATCACTGTGTGCATGTGTGGGTAGAGTAGACGGGCATAAAGATGCTATAAACCACTACTGTGGCTCTGATAACTGCCCCAAGATGCTGGGTGCTGCTACTGCTACTAGATCTGACACCCAATTGTTTACATAAGGTGAATCACCACTGTCAGCTTGCCCATTCTGTGGAATCCTGGTCAGAAGGCAGGAGAGGAAGGGAGGGAGGGCGATGTGGACATCATTGTGTTCCATCTTCTAAAGCTCCCAGCAATGTTGGTATTGAGCCAAGCTGTACCTTTGGAATGGGCCAGTATTGAAAGACAGTGGCATGGGACTATTGGGAAAAAAATCCACTCCCCTCTACTGGGATTTATTTATTATTTTATTTATTTAAAATATTTTTACCCAGCCTTTCTCTTTAAAAAGCACCCAGGATAGCTTACATCATTAAAAGAGAACATTTAAAGCTAAAACAATGAGTATACGAAGTTTACAAGGAATTATGCTACATCACTGGATATACCTTCTTCCTATTTCAAATAGGGCAGTAGTAATCATCGTTTTAATCCACAACGGCATGTTTCTGACTTTTAAAAATTTCCAGATGGGGCACAAACCTGGATAGAAACGAGTCACTCCCGTGGCACTTCCAAAGACCTGCCACAGCAGAGAGGGGTCTTCTTTTCGATTTTCAACAAATACGTCCTCCAGAGCTTCAGTCCAGTTCAGCTCATTGAGGATTACAGTGGCTGCAAGAGAGAGAAAGGGAACACAGTTAGTGCGCTCAGGGTTTGGAGACCAAAGGCTGGAAGGGGTCTCTTGCCATTTAAAATATAGATAATGCTTCCATGAAAATATATGGATATGATTGTGTTGATCTCTTATTAATGGATCTGTGAAGACAGATATCAGCCGGGGGACTGACTTTGGCAATACTCTGTATTCCTTTCTGGGCTCAATGCCACCAGTTCCATTATGAGAGGGTGCAGCCCGAGTAATGCTTCTGATGCATTCATCAAATATAAGCATACACAAACTCATAAAAACATACCAAAACATGAAACAAGGAATTGGGATGGGTGGGGAGAGAAAGGCAGCTAGGTAGGTTTGGTCATCTTGTCCCCATCGATCTTTTCTAAATGACCATTTGCTATGCAACATGCTCAGCATTCTCCTTCTTTTAGGAAGCCAGTTAGTTGTTGTTTGCAGGGGGACATGAAGGCTCTAGGATGCTGGGAAGCCCTCAACACATAGTAAAACTGATGCTCATGCTTCCTAGAGGCACATACAGCACGCAGGCTTTCTGAGCAGTCCCTCCTGCCTAATTTTTTTTAAATTTGTGGGGTTTTCAGGTGGCTCTGGGGACTGCAGAAATGACTATCAGCCTGCTTCTTGCCCAGCCTGGTATATAACATGCAATCATGTTTTTAAAAGTCCAGTAAACAGCAGAAAGGATTATGCTAAATAAAGTGATTTCCCCTTAAACTCAGCTAAGACACAGTTGGTTGCATTTTGTACAACATTTGTTTCAAAATGAAGATACTGGCAAACCCAAGAACCAACTGGAAAACCCTCCATGGCAGCCTTTCCCAGCCTAATACTCTCTAGCTGTGTTGGACTGCAACCACCACCATTGTGAGCCAACATGGTAAACAACACCAGTTGCAGAAACCTGGTTGATAGCATTAGATCAATAGTGTCGGATGTGCCTTCTGTTACAATACGCAATTATTACTCACAATAGACTAATTTATAAGGTTCTTTTTCCTGCATTAAATTTGTGCCATTTATTGGGACTATACATTCAGTCCTACCACACATACCTGAAGATACCCTTTCGTTTCTTCCTTTATAACCTATGGTAAAGACATTCATGCACAGTTTTGTCCTGCTTCTATCAAGCCATTAAATTTCATTCTGAGGACAAAAATACTAAAGCTTTCTGAAGAATATGAGTTAGCACATCATGAAGTACATTTGTCCCTCTGGCTACCTGCAGCAGATGGGAAATAAATTGCCTGCATCCCCTTTAGGAACTGCACCCAATTCCCCCCCTCCCCAAATAAGCCACTTCCAAAGAGAGACCAATGTAGGAAGGAAGGAAGGAAGGAAGGAAGGAAGGAAGGAAGGAAGGAAGGAAGACTACTGGGACTGGTCCCATTCTGCATTCCTGGTGGCCCTTGTGTCTAATGCAAAAGCAATTAAGACGACAGCAAACAGGGGTTTTAAATTATTCAGCTATTAAGGAAAGTGATAAGCTCAGAGTGGCCTGACAATGATTAATCAGTTGGGGCTGGGATTTAACAAATATGCAGAAAAACTGGCATTTGGTTTCATGTTGGTGCTGGAATAGTTCTCTCTCTCTCTTCCCCCCCCCTCCCTCTCTCTCTCCTTCTTCTTCTTGTCTCCCTCCACAACCCCAGAAGCCTCGAAGAATGGCACTCAAGGGGAGAGAATCAAGAGAAGAAATTCCTCAAAAGCTGCTGCCTGAGTGGAGCAGATGGATTTGGCAGGAGGACAAAAAAAGTGCAAGGCACCCTCCCCCAAAAACGCATCATCAGTTTAGTCAAGCTCTTGTGTTCTTTCTATGATGATCGCGTGTAGTCCTTTTCCGGCAGAGCGTTTCAGAGATTTCTTAGAATAGCAGAGGACACAGTTCTCACAGCAGGGCAGCAGCTGAATTCTCATCATATCCAGCCCCAACCCAAAACTATGCAGAAGTAGGCTCAGAAATGGCACCAAGCAGTGGAGGCTGGTCCATGAATGCAAAAGGAGCAACTCAGGGTCAGGCTACCACCTCCCCCACCCCCCAGACAACCTACTTCTGCCTGCCTTCTGCAGGACTGGAGGATTTCAAGACCTCACCTCAGCCCCTCTTCCCTGTGGGCATGTGCCAATCCTTGCCTCTATGTGTGTGTATGTCTGTGTGTGTGTGTGTGTGTGTGTCCTGCCACATTTGCTCCCACTGGGCTTGTCACCCCCGGCTCCGCCCACCTTGTGCTGTGCCTTCTGCCTCACCAAATTCAGTGGGCACCAGCCACCATGGGTTCAAGGTATCACAGAGAAGCATGCCAGCAAGTGCTAACAGATTCCGGAGTCCCATCCAAGTGACAGATGTAAGAGAGAGCAATGCCTTTGTTGGTTCATACGGATAGATCTTTCCCTCTGGGACACCTCTGGAAATATGCACAGCTTTCCTGCCTCCCACCACATTGCAAGTGAACTCTGGCCTGATTTCCTAGATGTCTTTTTGTATATATCAGTCCTTCCCTGTGGCTTTCCCAGAAGCTGTATCCATTATCATCTCTGTTCATGTCTGAGACTGTAAAGGCACCCCACTGTATGCATGGATGAGATCATTCTCTCTGCAGAAAAGGAAAGGCTTTGACCTTCTCCCTTCAGTGCTCAGAACATGACTCAGAAGAGATTGCACAAAGCTTACCGCCCTGTCAGAGCACTGATGGCATGTAAATGTTCCTTTCAGTAGCGGGGGACCTAAAACATGGCGGCCTACGAACACGGGGGCAAGCACCCCACACTGCTAAGCGACCTGCTAAGGAGGTAGCTTTGGAAAGATGCATCTGTGGCAAAACCAGAAGCAACTTGGGGTGGGGGAATGGAGTGAGGTGAGTGGGGGGAGCACCTCCGTAGGCAAATAAAGCAGTGAGGCTGAGAAACATTCCCTGGGCAAGGGCGATCTGAGGCTCAATGGTGCATTTTGTGGTTGCATATGAGCATGTGCACATGCAAGGGGAAAGTAATGTCAGATGGGGGGGGTTGGGAAGAAAATTTGGATTAAGATTGTTTCTCAACTTCTTCCTTGCATATTTACCCTTTCAGGAGTATTGGTGTTAACCTAAGCATGCTGCAAAGTTTAACGCTGTTAAGGTATGGCAATTTGGCTAATTGGTAGCATCTTAATTCATACCAGGGCCTTTGTGTATAGAACTTGGAAAAAATACTTTTTTAAAAAAACTCCAGATCCCAGAATTCCTTAGCCAGCTTGGTTAGTGGAAAAGGGCACCATGGACAATATTGCAATGGTGATCTGCAAGGTAGGTGGTCACTTCAGATCAGGAAAATTTGCTGAATGCAGGATGCTAAAGGTTGCTCTGGGAACTTGATAGCTATCATGTTGGTCAACATACCAAAGCCAGACTGGCCCTCCACAAACAGTCTTAAGTGTGAAAGCAGAAATTGTAACAGGTCGTCTTTGCCTGTGGGTCAGATACGGAAGCAGGTGTTGGTTATGTATTTTTCACATAGAGGGATAAGCTTCATTTTGATATGCCAAAGTAAATTAGCCCTTTCCTCTCAACCCTCAGCAAGAGTTAACAGCACAAGCCTACAGGTGTCTGTTCAGAAGAAAGCCCTGCAAGTTGTTGTTTCATTTTATATATCAGCCCATAGTGCTGAAGCGGTCTTGGGGTGGTTTACAACACAAATTAGGCAAACAACATTTTATTGTTGAACAGGACTTCCTTCTCAGTAAGTGGGCATTGAAATGTAGTCTCATGTTGTTTTATTTAAATGTGTTTTTGATGCTGTCCCATCCCCAAATTGTTTATGATGCTGTTTTGAATACCTTCATTATTTGTTTTCAATTAATTTTTCTGTTGTAGGCTTATTATATTGCAAGCTATTTAACTGGACCCCAACATGGCTCTGAAAAAAACAACAGCATATACATATTTATAAAAAAACAACATTCAAGGTTTTACAACAGAAGATAAATTTGCTGATGTTCCATAAGTTAAACTGGTTGTTCAATAGATGTGCCTTCCTGTGTCCTGTGGGTTCGGAGCAAGAACACAGCAAGGACTATGTTCTTGTAGGTCCCACTGGGATGGATATCAAGTGGGAAACATGGATGTGGAGTTTTTTGGGGGGGCCTGAATGGGTAGCAAGCAATGGCCCTGCCACATACAATTCAGTTTTACTAAACCAGACAGGGCAAAAGAGAGATCCTCTTAAAGAGACTGACCCCACAGGCTTGTGGGGGAACCAAAGCAACCATAAAGCAGCTCCCACCCAAAGCAGAAGCAGCCAGGATCACAAGAGAATAATGAAAATGCTCTTAGGGCCAGTCCCTTTCAAATGTCAGTGCTGTCAAGAGGATGGATATATGGAGAGGATGATGGTTGTCCAATCTGATTGCTGCTCACAGCCAGGGAGCCTGCCTGCTATAGGAGTTTGCTTGCTGCAGGAGACTGAAAGCATTACATCTAGTGCATGGCATCAATCCAATCAGCTTCACTGAGAGCTGACGCTTCTCGGGTTGAGCTGTTGGGCACATGTACATGTGTGCCAGTCTATCTGTGCTGGATGGGGGAGGCAGCTTTGCACACACATTTACTTCACCACTGCATATAAATGTGGAGCCTACTTGCACGTATAGCAGTTTTGAGAGCACATCAGAGTACTCACAAAGCCGGGGGCACCAGGTCTGCTTATGTAACTTTAAGTGGTTTCTCACTGAAAAATCTAGAAAGGCCAAGTTTCTCTGGTTCTGGATTAGTTTCACATTGCTGAAAAAAAAAAGACACAATACTGCTGCATCTATGTATTTGGGAAAACAGCAGATAGCCCCAGTATGTATTTAGCTCTTTTAGAAACCCCTCCTGTTGAAGTCTGTTATACCAACCACCCTTTGATGAAAACCCCAGGGATCATTACAGACCACTTGCTTGGCCTGCTAGATAAATTGCATCACTTAAACAGAGCAAAGGATATACTGGCCAACCGACCT